AAAAACCCTGCTGCCTTTCAAGAGGTTTTCAAAGGCGGGTGCTACGATAACTGGAGCCTGAAGGAAGGGATCTACTCAATAGAAACGGAGTTAGGTACTTCAAGAAGTGATAGCGCGCGTTTTGTCGAAGGTTCCCTAACGATCTAACTGGGCCTTACCTACAGCAGTGACGGTTTTGCACGAGGGTAAATCAATTGGTGAAAAGCCTAAGGTATGATACAGGATACCGGGGATTAGGAAAGAACTTCAGAAACCGGTAGACTGGAAGCATAAAAACTCGACAGTTTACAGAAGGCATACTTCTGTGGTCCTCCAGTAACATTCGTCTTGTGATGTATGTTGTTCCATACTACGACGTTTTTTGCTCCCGTCGTTATCGAGTCTCCAACCTGGAAATCGATCAGTAAAAATTCTTCGAAGCAGCCTGCGAAATAACGTCAATGGGCGACCCGACGTGAGGCCAGTCGCACGGCCAAAAGGCAAAGATGCAGACGGGTCAGCAGTCACAGTCGCGTATTTTGCGTTGTGTTACTGTAGTACATTCTATTCAAATCGACGCTAAATCGCTGCAACTCGTCCTGACACGTATGTGATCCTGCTTTCCCGCCGCGCGACGGACCTCCTGTCGGGTACCCAACGTCTGTAAGAACAATCACGTCTGCAATAGAGTATTGCGGAAACTTTATTTCTAAAGATGATAATTACTGAAGATATGTAGCTGCATTAGGAGAGCAGCAGGCAAAACGGAAGCGCAAAAATAGAAATTTGAACTGGATTCGGTGTCAAAGGATAACGTGCTGTAGAAGATATTACGGGAAGGATGCTCATCCTAAATCACTTTTCGATCTCAGTAAAACCTCAAGTCATAAGAGTTAACACAAAAGGCCTTGATGGATGATTGGCTACTTTTAAAGCAATGGAGATGTAATTAGTGAAAGGCGTCCATGATGGCCTGAAAAAATAAGGGGGGATGGGATATTCAAAACAGGGCATTCGAAAACCGCTGGTGGACACTAGAAGAAAGCCTAAGAAAGGGGAGGGAGGGAAGCCATCGAGAAAGAAACTTACTCACATCTTCTCCCACAATCCTTAACCCTCCCTCTGCTTAGTCCCAACTGCTAAGAGTGGTTCTCTCGCTTCAAGCCCCCCCCCCCCCGCACGACATAAGCGCCTAGATAAGAAACGACAGGTTCAGCCTTTCAGCACTGCAGAAACGCAAATACAAGAACTACGAAAATTTATAAAATGAGGTACAACCGACCGTGAATATAAGGCGACGTTCGAAGGCAAACTTCAGTAATCGCATCACCTAAACAACATGGCTATTTGAACTGATGGGAAACAGAAAAGCTCGAACTGTCGTAGTAAATGAAGCTCTCTAACTAAATATTATTTCTAACTTGTACCTAATGAGAAACCAGATCTGAATTTGACAGGAAAAATTGTAACAGGTTGCCCATGTGCGACAAAAAGCGATAGTAATGCACAGCTTATTAATGCAACATGCCATAACAATCTTTCGTTAAGACTATGTCATCCAAGTAAACAGTTCCTTGGAACATATCTCACCCCATTTCACTCGTACCGCGAAATATGGTGCCCCTCTAGTGACACGCTCCAAAAACCGGACTGTGCACCACAATTATCAACAGCAGTTACCTCAAGTACTGAAATCGTTCGCAAATTAACGAAAAAATTCTCTCGATACCTGTGTTCCTTCAGGCGTTCCAGGCACAAAAGCTCTTCTTTGCGTTCCAGTGAAAAGTTTTCCAGGGCCTTATGTGGCTCGCCTACAACAGCACTCCGCTTTGCAGTCACAATGTGACATGTACAAAAACTTTCTCACCTCTTGCACTCCGTGTGGCACGGTATAAAAAATCTCGTAAGTGAACTCGCTGTCCTCATGACCTTAAAAAGGCACATTATTCCCTTGTATGACAGTGTTTTTTCAAGTATTCGAGGTCACTCCTTGGTGGTGCAAGGGCAAGTGGCAAAACTTCCCACGTGCGCGACACGGAGATCAATCTCGGATTATCACTATGGCCAAGTCAGCCTTCCATCCTCCGGGCCCGATCAATTGGTAGCAGTACGCCAACTTTGTTCTTTCATTGGTTATTACCTCGCTTCAAGCCATCCGATATCAATGACAAATTCCTCGAGAAGAAAGATACTTGGGAAATTTGGTTCATGTACGCAGCATTTATCGCTCTCATCCATCCTACTTACTATAAAGCGCTTCGTCTGTCGTCTGTCGTCTGTCGTTCTGTATGTCTGTCACGAAATTCCCTAGCTCCTCGGGATCCGCCTGGAGGGACCGGGTCAAGTGTGGGATGGGTGGGCAAGGTCTCACGAAGTACAAAACACACATCAGCTAAGCGGAGCCCCGCCCACAGTGGGCGTGGCGTGCATCGAAATGAACTGTACTGACGACCAAGATTTCAATTTCAGTGACAAAACAGCCTCGAAACTGGGCCAAAAAGTGGGTAAAGGTGTGCATTGGTAAGTCACATCGAATTAGGGAGACCCACCCCCGGTGGGCGGGGCGTTCTCCAAAAAAGCAGTGCTTTAACTCGGTTGGGAGAAAGCCTACAGAGCAGAAAACAAATTGGTGTAGGGGAGCAATGTCTAAGGTGTTCCCAGCATACATGACGTGGGCGGAGGCCCGCCCACAATGGGCGGAGCGCGCTCTGAAGTGTACAGCGTTTTCTACAAGTCCGGAGAAGTCTTAGTGAGCCGGAAAAAGGTGGATAGAGGTGGGTGAAGGAGTGGAGCCTAGCTGCTAATGGTCCAAGAAGTCCTGGAGACCGGGAAAAAAGTGAATTGAGTCGTCAACGGAAGGGAGGTCAACTGCTATTGGTGGGTAGGGCGTGCACCAACGTGGGCGGAGTTTGCCCTAAACTTATAATTTAGTTCCGAGAAGTCCAGGAGACCGGGAAAAGAGTGGGTCGAGTCCGACAACGCACGGAGGACAGCTGCTATTGGTGGGTAGAGCGTACACCAAAGTGGGCGGAGTTTGCCACAAAACTTTGTGACTCGGCTGCAAGAAGTCCTGGAGACCGGGAGAGAAGTGGCGAAGGAAAGGAAGTGAATTTCTAATGGTGTGCGGAGGATACACCAAAAAAGCAGGATTCGCCGCCAAAATTATAAATCGGCTCAGAGATAGTTCAGAGATCGGGTAAAAAGTGGGAAGAGGTTGGCGAGGAAGAAAAAGATAGGTGGGACATGCAAAGAAATAGGCGGAGTTTACCACGAGGTTCATAAATCGGTCCGGAGGCAGTCCGAGGCCGGGAAAAAACGGACAATTGGTTGACGATTACGGACAATTGGTGGAGGAAGGAGGGAAGCTCAAAAGCCATCGGTGGATGAAGCATGGGGCAATCGGATAGAATTCAGCTTGAAAGTCAAATATTCGAAGTGTATTGGGCCAAATTCGAAAATTCACGCCGCACCATCCTATATCGCCGCAGAACTGTGCTGTGCGCGCAATGCGTGCGGCGCCAACTGGTAGTGTCATATTTGCTCAATATATAGCCTGATTCACCAAATGATGAAAAAAGGCTCCTCGTTTATTCTTCTGCGTGAAGGTCGCTGCCATCAAATTTTCGCGGCGTCTCAAAAAACAAAGAGGGAAAAAACCAGACAAAACACCAGATGCTTCACAAACCTGGCAGTTTGAGATGATAATTCTTGTTGATCATCATTTTTGCTTCTTTTGGTTGATCACCCAAAGGAATTTCGAAGTATTTACAACACAAAGGGCAGCATTTCTTACTGTTTGGACTGCGCACGTACTCCTAAATTAGCATAATCTTTTGCAAATATGCTGGTCAAATTGTCGGAACTTGCCTCGAAGCACAGCACGTGGTACTGGTGACCGCACTCTAATTCACAAACTTCCTTCGTTTCGCCGTTACCATTCAGAGCATTTAAGCACACCACACAATCATCTTTTTGTACCTAAATTGGTCCTTAAGAAAAAATGGTCCTCTTAGTTACTCATCACAAATTCTAAAAAAGGTGTCATGATGGCAGACCAAACTAAGATTTTCCCTACAACGGTTCTTATGCCTTTAAGCTCACAACATTTCCTTGCTTGACCTAGAAAAAAACAAATCCACGGCTTACACTTTATTACGGTGGTCTTCCAGGTTTTAACTGTCCATCCAGCTGTGCCGTAATCTATCGAAATAATGGATGCCAACGTTTGAGGGAGAATTTTTGCAGAAAATTGCGGAGCAAAATCGGATGAGTGCGATAATGTTTTTTTCACGGTTCCTAAAGGCCAAGATCTACCCATCAATACGTAAATCTTAAGTTCCTTAATGAAAGTTTCATGGGAAAAGTTTCAAAACTATCCGTTCCGATAAAAAGACCAGTCATTCAATCCGAAGTGGTAGGATATCTTGCTAGTAAGTATTCAGCATCCGTTCGCGACTTGTCGCGTAAGGACGAATTGATCGTGGAGAAACAGAATAGGCCGATTTCGAGCGAGCGGCAAGGGAAACGAACAATGTAGACCCCAGTCAGATGAAAACTAGAAAGATCGTGTGCTAATCAAACATATAGACTGTATGTGACTACGCATGGAGAGTCTGGGCAATACTTTCCAGTATTCGCGCGTGTTAGCTGAAAAATGCCGAGCTGTTAGGGTTGTTTGCCGCCGGCAATTTTTTAGAAGTGGTTTGGGCATTGCAACGCTCATTGGTTTTAGCAGAAGACTGTGTTGCCATGTAATGCTGCGCTAGAGAAAGTGTACTCGTCGTATTGCGTTATGTAAGCGTACTAGCTGAACCGTGCAAAAAAAAAAAATCTCTTAGCGCACGCTATGTTCACCATTCAACGACCTATACGGCTCCTTCAGTGGCGATTTATATGATTCAAAGGCCACAGTGAACAGAAATTCAAAATCTTCATGCTTTTTTCCTTTCTGCAAAATAATTTCACAATTGTTTAGCGTTTCTCAACTTAGGTTACATGTTTATGAATTTAACCCTGAAAAGAGTGCGTTAATGCAATGTTGAATGGTGTCCCTCCCCGTAATTGCGCACGGACCCTTTCAGAATCCTCCCGATTTTTCCTGAATTGAGATTGTTTGTCCAAGGAGCCGTAGTTGAAGCGCGCGCAACAACTGACCCTTTCTGGGATGCGCCGTGTACTTCACATCCCTTCAGATTCGAGGACTCACTTGAAAGATGAAATATCTCTTGGAAAGCGTGCGAAATTCAGATTCTTTAACTTTGTAAGTAACTAAGAATTACCGGACGCCTCAGAATCACGAAAATTTTGTGTGGGTGAAATATCATTTTCATTGGAAATCCTCTGGCCTGGCATCGACTCATCCTTGATATTTGTCTTCCGACGGTGATGATCCCACTGCATCAAAATGGCTCGATCTCTTCCACCCAGCGGGCCAATACGACCCCCCCCCTGCGACGTGTCGAGGATTCCTCAACGCACGGCGCCGCGGCCCGCTTGACCCTGCCTAGGATCGCTCTGGCTTGTGTAAAAAGGTATTTGAGCGAAGTTTTTATAAAATTACATTGAATATTTGCATAAAGGATAGCATGATTAAGGCAAGAGATTTTTGTCACTTCATCCGAAGTCCTGCTTCACTAGCTTGTTTTTGGAGGAAAAGGAGGTCGCGTGTCACGGGAGTGAGGAAGTCGTATCGGGGGGCTTCCCTAAAGCAGATGATGTGGGGATTGTATTGAGCAGAGAATGGATTGTCGAATTCAGTATCAGAACTAGGTACGGTTGGCCCGGCCTGTACTTATTCACTAGCCCTTAGCACTTACTCACAGCAGTTGCGAAATGGTACTTCTTTAAGCCTTTGTTAAGCGTATGGTCCTAATGAAGGTTTCTTTCATTGTCGTGTTTCGACGACAGCTGCTCCAACAAATGGTAGTGGTATAATGTATATCGCCTGGAAGATGTTTTGAACGAAAGCTACGAATTTTGTTTTTAGGCAGGATCGGCAACAGTGTGCATGCCACATGTGTGTTGGCTTGCACAGTGCTTCATGAAACCGCCGCCGCAAACGCTCTTGGCTCCATCAAGGTACCTTTTAGCTACTTCTCGCTTTACTACTTACCCACGCTGTATTTGCTCTCAACTTATTTGCTGAATTTCTGAAGGTTGCGCCGTACATTCGGCCGCTAACGATCCCCACGCGATATCTTATGGCTGCTGAATGGTGGGCGTCATGTAAATAAATAGGTGGACATAGAACCAATCATTGAATCGCCTCTCTATACTTTTGTGTCCTTGACGTAAATATCGTGATATTCAGTAAGTGATCAATTAGGCTTTGAGTTTTGCCGGCTATTTGGGGCAGAACTTTAGTGCTGTCGTTTTGTTGTCCGTCCACGGATGACTTGCCCTTGACCCTGACTGATCGTGTCCGAAAGATTCTGTTACTCTTACCCGTAATCTTCGCGCTTTTGCCCCCCCGCTCCTACTTGATTCACTGCGATGCATTCCAGATGGTGAAGGGTTTCAGTCATCTTGAAAGCAGAGATCTTCAATGCGCGGCCAATAATTCAAAAAGAAAATGGGGAAGTCATCCGTGTTTTCACCTTTCTCACCACCATTCCCAGCCGATGCTATCATTTTCACCGAAGTAATAGATTGACTTACATTGGATAACGGTAATCATTTAGCGGTGGCTTGCTTAGGCGCTAGAGGCTGCGAGGAGGTGGAGTGCTACAGAAGGAGTGATGAGGAATTGGAGATGGCCTTCCAATTTTATTATATTTATTTTCCTATACTTTATGAGGAATTCCCCCTCAAAATACTGAAGCTCATTTGCAGACTTTGCCTTCACCGTAACTTGTATGTTCAAGTCTCTCAAAACGCATCATTATTGAATTACCTTCCGACTTTTTTGTCTTTGTCGTAGATATCTGACTCCTACCACCCAGAGGCAATCTTGACCACCTTCAAACGATATTTCTATAGAGCCTAGTGATGACTGCCTCCGAAAATCGCTTCAATAAGTCTCGGGACCTTAGCCGCCTAGTTCTTGACAGATTCAGAAAAAATTGTAGGAAATAAGGTTTGTCGATGTCAAAGAAACGATCGAGCAGGAGATCGCCACTCAAATGAAGGCGAGATTTGGTGAGTTCTTATTCTTTGTCGAACGACATTTGAAGTTATTTTGGTTTTTCTACCTAAGCGTTAACGGCTATATTTCAGGGACATCTGGTGATGATGAGGCGGGACGGCAAGGGCTGGCGAATGAAATATGGAATATGGCACAATCGAGCCGAGAGTTGAGATTCCTATTCATGTCGTCTATTCACTAAAGGTAGTACCGTTCGAAACAAAGGAAAATTTTTTTTTCTTTTTTTTTTTTGTGGATGTGGAGCATCAGAGTCTACATGTAAAACTGTGGAAGCTAGTGAGCGTTTCAAGCAGTGGGATCTTTTGTTGGATTTCCGAACCAGGTTGAGCCATTGCGCTGGAAAACTTTGGGATCAGCACAACTTCTTCACTCCTGTGTCACAGAGGGAGAAGGTTGTTACTATTGAAATGACAAGTGGGTTCATCTACCAAACATGATCCTTTTCGCATTCCGATGATCACAAATACCTTATCGCAGGATAATTGCGACATAATCGTGACAACTGTTCTAATTAATGAGGGAGCCTCCATCGGCCTATTCGTCTGCCATTAGAATTATAATGAGAATCACCAAATAGGCGTTCAGGTTTTCCTCCAGAATTGCCTCAAAGCTTCTGGCTAAATCAGATTGATTGAGAAGTAGTTTTCGCACCATATGTTCTGTCCCATCTATTTGTTAAATTGTAGTAAGCCTGACTCACTTTTCTACCCTTCCTTTTCCTTTTGTTACCCATGAAAAGCAGTGTTTTGAGCTTTTCCATTAAATTAATTTAATTTGCATTGTTCTATTTTTCCTGCAGGAAGTCCTCATGCTTAGTCCTGCATGATAAACTGTAGCAACACCCAAGGACCAAGTCGGTGTAGTTCTTGCCCACGAAAATGAAAGCATTGGCGCAAAATGGGCCGATAGCGCAGAAAAAAGAATCCGTGGAAAACGCTAAATTTAAGGCCTTGCCTACTTTTGGAGTTTAGCAATGAGAAGTTGAGTGCAATGGAATCAGGATGGGCGAGCGAGCGCAAGGATGAGTGAGCCTGGACACCTGCATGCTACATACGGAGGAAAAAATGGAAGCGGTTCGAAGGGGATTTGTATGACCTAGCGCCCTTGCTCGCGCATCTGAGAGCCAGACATTTACGATTCTGTGAGACTAGACAAATAAACATCTGTCATCAAAACCTTCTACCAAATTCATATCCGTGAACTCATTCCTGGTTTGTACCTGTAAAGGCAGTATTCACTACGTCACACACAAGACGGTGCGGTTGTGATGATTCCATGACTTGAATATCATTAGTGAGCCAGCTCACACAGCGCGTTTTGGTGTGGGAAAGGGGTGATTGTGACTGCTATTCACTGCCTTCCGCTAACGCTTTCATTGCGTCATCGAAACCGCAACACCCTCTAGCCATCGTGATCGCTGCTTTTAAAGGCACAAGACAGGATTAATCTGATGCGTCATTTTGCTTGAGAATTAGACAAGGAGTGCAATGAGAAATACCTTAAAGCAACAGTCCAGGCAGGGTTTCAACCATTTGGTTTTCAAGTGGTGGAAACATGCCTCAGCCTGATTGGAGTTCATGGGAAATGTCACAAACTTCAAAACTTACCTCTGAAAGGCGTTGGAAGCAGTCGAAATCCTTCAAGAGGGGCGGATCCACCGATCCGTGGTGGGGCCGCCTCCAAGCAGCTGTGCAGAGCGCTTGCTCGACTAGCGGTCGTTGCGGGACCGCCGCGCTGTATGAGGTCGATTCCATAAGAACGCAATTGAAGCGCTTCAATTTCGATTGCTGGCAAATAGTTATGTATTTGCAAGCATGCATGGCTATTTGCCAGCAGTTGCAATTGGAGCGCATGTACTACGGGCAGGTTCGGACAACTCGTCCAACACACGTCTCCCTAAACGGCAGGGGGAGTCCCTGTCTAAGCCCCTGCCCGACGTTTTTTTCTACTTTTTCTTTCTCCATTGACCAACTTCTCACCTGCAACGTCATTATAGGTGGTCCTTACCCGCGAATTCGTTCCTGGATTGTTGCTTTAAGGAAGTTAAGCACAGGAGGACATAAAATCCTAAATTTATTTTGGA